CCATCAATTCATTAGTTTGAATAGAAAAACATGAATTATTTATTAACTCAATGACTTCCGGTAAGTTTTCATAATGAAATAAGAAAATTATTGTCTTATAAATTTTATTTTTTTATAAAATTTAATTTATATAAATTATATTTTTGTTTTTTTTTTCTTTTTCTTTAATTTTGCACTTTTTGCTATGTTTTATCTCAAAGAGTTCATAACAACAATTCTTCTACATAATTTTATCTATGCAAAAAGAATTGATAGGCAAAAGGAATTGTGACATAGTTTCAAAAAGTAAATGTGACTTCGCAACTAATTAAAGATTGAGGGCTACAAACAATAATTGCTCCCATCTTTTTCTAAATTTCACAGTAGCACATTTCCATTTCCTCACGGCTCTGCGCACGCGTGAATGGAAATGGAGAAAATTTTCAGGCTTTTATTAAAAGCTGATCCCTATATTCTTCTATTCTTTCAATTTCTCCTCTAAATTTTAAAACTTTCAATTATATCCATGGGAGTTGTACAAAGAGTAACAAATAGTGTGATGCATTGGAACGTCTCACTAATTAAGAAATTGAATCTTTATATTAAAAATGTGAAGTTTGAATCTTAAAAGAGATTTGAATAATGGAAGGTTATTTTTTATTATATATTTTATAATTTAATACAAAAAAAAAAGTCATGCTTTTACCAACAACATGCGTTGCTCAAACCCACAAGCACTAACTTCCCTTTTTTTTTTTAATGGAAATTACTATTAAGCAATTTAGGTGGTTGTTTCAATCATATTATTAAATTTTGTTTCTAATTAAGTTCATCTATTAAAAAAATCATTTCAATCTAGTGAATTATTGCACTTGATTTATTGTATGATGGAAGTGCACCATTTTCCTCTAGTTTTATGCATCTTCGAGTCCGCCCTCCAAGACTATAGCCATTCAAAAAAAACCAGTATTAAAGGTCACAAAATCAAGTGTATTAAGGGAAATTATCGACCTAAATAATTCAGTAATTATTTTTTTCTGTTAAAAGTAAAAGATCCTGAATTTTAATCGTATGACATACGGGTGAGGTGAGATAAGGAACAAAGATGATTGTCTTCCATTGTACAATAAAAAAAAAAGTGTTAAGGGAGTGCTTGTTATTAGCCAAAAAAAAAAAATGGTTATTAAATTGGGAGATTATTGTTATACTCAAAGTATTAATGGGAAAAAAAAATGAATTTTGAATGTCATCACTCTTCTTATTAAACCACTTACTGATGCTTGTTGCTTGTACGTTATTTTGTGGGCTTTTGCTCGACATCGATTTTGGGCTTGTTTCTTTCTTAGGGCTTTGTGCTTTTATCCTTCCAAACTTTTGGACCCCCTCAGAATCTTATGCCGTCCATGGACATGTAAGGATCATTGGGCCATTGCCCACTAAAATGTAAAATCTTGCCCAAATTTGAAAATATAAATAAGATTAAAATTAATTTTAAATTTTACTAAATAAAATTATGGCTTTTATCCCAATTAAACTCCCTCAAATCTAATTTATTTGTCAAGCATTGTGGCTTTTTCTTTTTTTAATTATTATCAATATACTACGCCCCTCTTTTTCAAAATAATTGTTTTTTTTAAGACTTCTTTTAATATAGTTATAGTTTTAAATTTTTTGTTTGAATTTTTATAAATTTTGTAATTATAAATAAAAAATTTATTTAGTTTCATGTTTTCTGTAATATATTATTATGATTATTATAGAAATAAGAAAAAATAATTTTAATATTATTAAATAAGTAAATATTCTAAATTATTAATATTAAAATTTATTTTAAATAAATTTTTAATTTTAATTTTTTAATATTTATAAATTTTAAAACCAAAAAAATTTCAAAGCATAATTATACTGAGAGATTAGTGCTTGTTCGTCTTACCTTAAAAAAATTAAAAAAAAAAAATCATCTTAATACATACTTTAAAAATATGGTAGTTTAGTCTTTTTTAATAAAAATTTATTGAAACGACGTAGTTTTAGGATGATTTTCCTCGTAATCTTTAGGAGGTAAGGGTAATAGACACTATTTTCTTATACTAAACTAACGGAACTTAAATCAATAAAAGAGGGTGAATTTGTCAACCAAATAAAAATCCTTAATTGGTGCCCACTTGCAAGATGATTTTATTTTTGAATTAAAAACAGAAGACAATAATTACCTCTTGCTCTTGTATATCTAAGTTGGTTTTTGAATGAAGCATTTGGGTTAGTGGTTCGCACTTAAATTCTAAGTGTTTGAGTTTAGTTAGTTAAAAGTTCAACTCACATCAACAACTTGAAAAAAAATCTTTATCTCCCATGATTCTCCATGTTCCCAAAAAAAAAAAAAAAAAAAAGTTGGGTTTCCTTTTTTTTTTATAGCCAATACAAATTAAGTTAAATACTTGAGTTTAATTAGTTAGAAGTTCAACTCCTATCAACAACTTAAAAAAAAAAATCTTTATCCCCAAGATTCTCCGTGTTCTTAAATAAAAAAAGAAAAGAAGTTGGGTTCCTTTTTTTTATTTTTATGGCCAATCCAAATTAAGTTCCAAACCAAACCCTTGTAGCAAAATTAAGTACTAGCATACTCCAAGGAAAAGTATCCTATTATTTATGCAGATGTAATTGGAGATTCAGTTCCAGGACCATTTCTATTAGCTAATATATATTTCTATCTTCTTGTACCAAAAAACCAAAAAAATGAAACAAACACTACAGGGACAAGATGGTTGGATGGAGGGAGACAGTTGGATGCTCGAACTTAGCAACTTGTTGATAGTCCTGACAAAATTAGATCGAATTTAAAATTTTGATTTAATTTATTTGTTACGGATAGAATTATGAATTTACAATATTAACTTAAAATTTAATATGAAAT